AGTTGTTGGCTAAAGCGGAAGAGTGTTTATTGAAGATAGTAAGGCATGTCAGCCTGGGCCCAATCAAGACAGAGAAACCACAGAGGGATCTGAACAGGAAAAGTTCGACATACAGAATTATTAATGATAACAGGAGATAGGAGTAAGAGGGATTGGGTAGTAAGAAGTAAAGGAAACTCTAAAAGAATATAGGAACAACAGATATAATACATAATAGCAGACAATATAAAAATAATATACAGGGGCTGGCCCGGTGGCGCAGTGGTTAAGTTAGCACATTCCGCTTCTCGGCAGCCCGGGGTTCGCTGGTTCGGATCCCGGGTGCGGACATGGCACCGCTTGGCACGCCATGCTGTGGTAGGCATCCCACATATGAAGTAGAGGAAGAAGGGCACGGATGTTAGCTCAGGGCCAGGCTTCCTCAGCAAAAAGAGAAGGACTGGCAGTAGTTAGCTGAGGGCTAATCTTCCCCCCCCAAAAAATGAAATAAAATAATATACAATAGTCACTCCCTCTAGAGCTGGGCTAACCCTCCTCTCCACCCGTGACTGAGATCTGGGCCTCGTTAGAGAAGTTGCTGTGGTGCTGACTCAGTGGATCTTGCTGGGCATCCACCCTCGGGATCTTGTTGAACACGTGCCTCTCTAGGTGCTGCTTTCCTGTTCACAGGGGAGACGTCTCACCAGAGACACTTTGTTGCAGAACCACCCAAGGGAGGTGCCAGGGGCAGCTGCTACCCTCTGGGCATTGAGGAAGCCAGTGCTGCAGAAGATGAGCACTAGGAAAGCTGGGAGGAGCCCGTGGAGTGAGCACACAGGAAACAGGAAATGAAACCCCTTCTTCCTGCAATGTCTCTCCACCACCAGTTACTGATAAATCTGCATATCCTGCTAGCTGGCCAAGTAAAACATATTTAAAGGCCCCTGGTCCATTTTCACAGAACAAGCATAAAGAGGGGCTGAGAGGTAAAACATCAGTTACAGGTAGAGGAGGTCAAGGAACTGAGTGGTCATGATGTTGGGCTGTTATTCTTGTGGATATTGAAATGACCCAGCTGTTGGCAGAAATTGGGGTGAATCGGAAGGTTATAAACCAACTTATTTCTCCACGTGTGACCTTGGTCCACCTGCCTCAGAATCAGGTGGATACTATAATAATACAGATCCCTGGGCCCACTGCAGATCTTCTGAACTGGGGTCTTGGGGAATAGGGCCCATAAATCTTTTTAACAAGTGCCCCGGTAGATTTAAAATTTTAAAAATCAGTTATGAATATTTCAAACACATAAAAGTAAAGAAAATAGTGTAACAGGTACCAGTGTACCCAGCAGCCAGTTTTAACAAATGTTAAGATTTACTTTACTTCCTGCAGATCTCTTTATTTTTAATAAAATGTTACCTATTTGGGCTCAAGTTCCACCGTCATTCTTTTCTCCTTCCTTTCTCACAAGAGGTGATTATGTGTGTACACTGTTGTTTGTAAATCACTGCTTTAGGTGACGGAGAGCGTTTGAGGGTTTTTGAGCAGGGGTATTACACTATCAAAGAGGGGTTTTTGGAGCATCAACTCAACTGTGCTCTGCCAGAGTTCACTAGGTGGAGAGGATGGAGGTGGGAAAGCTGGTGAGCGAGGAGGCAGGTTCAGTGCCCAGAGGATATGGTACTAAGAATCAGAAGTAGGGTAAGAGACCTTTTCTCTTTTTCTCATGCTGTCGTGTGAAGCCTGCTGCTCTTCGTGTCCTTGTGACCTGTAGTCTTTCAACCTCCCACCCCATTCCCCAAGTTCATCTGCTCCTTTCTGTCTTCACTTGCTTCCCTGCCCAGCCTGGGTTCAATGATTGGTCACTTCACCCCTATGCTTGCTACTGTCCTGGAATTTCTTGCTTTCTTGATATTTGACCGTACTAACCCTAACTTCTAATCTTTATACTAACAGAACTACTTTTTTCTGCTTTAAGGAGGTGGTCTTTCTGGTTTTACCTTATTACTTACGGTAATTTGCTATAGTCAATATCCAAAATGAGGCAGATTTTCATCCAGGTGACGTCAGTGATACCTCAATAATACTGTCACATTTAATTGTCTGTAGAGTATCATTTTGATGAGCAATTGTGAAAACTGTCCAAATGACATATAAAAATGTGTTCAAGTAGGTCTGACAAATGGATTTTATATTTTTTCTATTACATATATTTGATCACAGGTCAAAAGTCAATTAAAACTTTTGATTGCCTGATAGTTATTTTGCCTATAAGTACAACTACATCAAACCAAACATTTGGATGTCAAATCCTTGTTGTAGAACTACTAATAGACACAACAACATGAATGAATCTCAGAATGATAATGTTGAGTGAAAGAAGCCAGATAAAAGAAAGTACCATACTGCATGCTTCCATTTACATGAGATTCTAGAAAATGCAAACTCATCTATAGAGACTGAAAGCAGATCGGTGATTGCCTGGGATTTGAGGGGAAGGGAGGGAAGAAGGGGTTGAAAGGGCACAAGGACACTTTTGGGGGTGATGGAAAGGTTTATCTGGATTGTGTGTGTGTGAGTGTATCGCCGATGTATACATACATCAGAATTCATTAAATCATACATCTTAAATATTTGCAGTTTATTACGTGTCAATTATGCCTCAATAAAAGTATAAAAAATCATTAGCTGGTCCAGCCCCGTGGGGCAGCGGTTAAGTGCGCCTATTCCGCTTCTCAGCGGCTCGGGGTTCGCTAGTTCAGATCCTGGGTGCGGACATGGTACCACGTGGCAAGCCATGCTGTGGTAGGCGTCCCACATATAAAGTGAAGGAAGATGGGCATGGATGTTAGCTCAGGGCCAGTCTTCCTCAGCAAAAAGAGAAGGATTGGCAGTAGTTAGCTCAGGGCTAATTTTCCTCAGGAAAAAAAATCACTAGCAAGGAAAACATGTTTGTTTTAAGCCATTAAAATTAACAAACAAAAAATACTTCTTATAACCAAGTAGTACCTATACCCAGAACACCATATGAGTACCTTCATTCAGTCAGTCAGTTGTTCAGCATTTTTGCACATCTACTGTGTACCATGCACTCTGCTGGGAACAGTGTTAAACAAGACAGATAAGACCCCTACTCTAGGGAGGTGACATTCTGGTGGAGGGGACAGATCAACAAGTAATAATAGTAAAGAGCAGTAAATGTTATGACAGGGCAAGAACGGGAAACTTTGCAAACATTTAGCCCGATTTTCTAAGCTGATTAATTGGTAGTAGATGCTTAAAGCTGTGTTGAAAAGAATTCTGAAGCTTAGCAGGATCCCATGCACAAGGAGGGGCAGTGACGGTGAGTACCGCGCACTTCCCAACACAAGGCTGTACTGTTAAAGTTGCCCTTATCATAGATTTCCTGATAGGATGACTATTTCAACGATTACGAAAGTGTTTGAGAATAGTGAAGATCTCTTGTTATAGACCAGTTTTTTTTCAGAGCATCATTTTTATTTTTTTTTATTTTTTTTTTTTTTTATTTTTTTTTTTTTTAATTTTTTTTTTTTTTTTTTTATTAATGTTATGATAGATTACAACCTTGTGAGATTTCAGTTGTACATTTTTGTTAGTCATGTTGTGGGTACACCACTTCCCCCTCCGTACCCTCCCCCCCCCCCCCCTTTTCCCTGGTAACCACCAATCAGATCTCCTTCTCAATATACTAATTTCCACCTATGAGTGGAGTCATATAGAGTTCGTCTTTCTCTGACTGACTTATTTCGCTTAACATAATACCCTCGAGGTCCATCCACATTGTTGTGAATGGGCCAATTTCGTCTTTTTTTATGGCTGAGTAGTATTCCATTGTGTATATATACCACATCTTCTTTATCCAATCATTAGTTTCTGGGCATGTAGGCTGGTTCCACGTCTTGGCTATTGTAAATAATGCTGCAATGAACATAGGGGTGCAACGGACTCTTGAGATATCTGATATCAGGTTCAGAGCATCATTTTTAACTCAAAGTGTTTCTTGTTGGGGAAACATCAACCTTCCAGACCGTAGTGTAGACAGAGGACAAGTGCTCTTTTGTTCTCTGAAGTTCTGTTTTCAAGTGTTTTTTACCCACTTATGTGACTGTGTCTGAGCCTTTGCTAAGGGTGCTGCAGCTGGATTCTGTAGTGGAACCAGGTCCAGAAAAAGAACTGCTAAAGAATGCAAGTAAACAGGATGTCAGATGTTATCCTTAGCCTATTTCCCTAAACATAGCTTTTTGGCTGCAAAGTAAAATGCCATTCTTCTAGCTTCTGCTTATACACAGTGATGGCCGACAGCAGGCACAATCTTCATTTGCCTGGTGTGTTGTCACCATGCAACTCAACATGTTTTGCAAGGAACGATCGTGATACACCATCACAGTCTGAAGACATCCGGCCATTTCTTGGAAGAATTTTCTCAGCCTACCTTCTTTGAGCCCTGTTGTGCCAGCACAGCTCCTTACGACGTTCAGATCTGTCTGACCTAAGAGCCACTTGGCATCTTCCTCTTGACAGAAGCCAGATTTTCACTGGGGCTAGACTATTTATTGACAGCGTTTTCCCAGACTGGCCCATGAGTGTCTCCTTTCCAAGGTCCCCTGAAGTGCTGGCTCACCTCTGTTTTCCAAGAGCACTTACTTCCTTTTCTCTCCTCCCTCCCCAGCATCCTCCTGACTTCCTTCCCTTACAGCTTCTTGCACTATTGGGGTTTTTTTTGGTGTGTGTGTGTTTCTTCTTTTTTTATCCCAATGAACTTGCTTCGCAGATTTTGAAAAACGAATGCTATACAAGATTTTTACAGTCATTCTATTTCCACATCTTTGAATGTGATCTCTGTGGTTTTAAAATTCCATAATTTGAGTGAGTTCCACCGTTGTCTAAGAAAAGTTGTTTTAAAGCTTGGTTCTGCAAGCACCAGAAGAGAACTCATAAAAAGGAAGACAACAGCAGATGCAATCGCGGATGTGGCTTAGTCCTTGCAGCTGCCCCCGAGAGCTGTTTGGAGCGCACAGTCCTCAGTAATGAATCCAGAAGAGCGAATCGTGACATGGCTTATATCCTTGGGAGTTTTAGATTCCCCCAAAAAGACCATCTGTGATCCGGAGGAGTTCTTGAAGTCCTCGCTGAAAAATGGGGTAGTACTGTGCAAACTGATCAACAGACTTAGACCTGGCTCTGTAGAAAAGGTAAGGGGAATTTGCAGTACCTTTGGGATGGCTTACCGCCAGGGAGCAGAAATAATGTAGCTCTCGAGACGTTCTACTGCCCGGGCGGTGGGACTCTCCTGCTTTAATCTTCTTCTAAGAGTTAGACATTCTTTCTTACTGTTTTTGTAGTTTGAAAAAGTCAGAAAATTAAATGTTATCCTTTAGTAATTGCCCCACAAATATTAGTATAGTACTAACCTGATACACCACTGGTACCAGGAGACAAGAACACCTATATCACAAGCTCACTCTGTCAGAGAGACAAGTTAGCACCAGGGCATGTTCTGAACGTGGGGTGCATATGGGTCCGTGTAATAATGGGATGATTTGTAACAGATATGGATGGTGTTTATTGACAGTTTAACTAAAATCAACGTAGATTTTCTTCTCAAAGCAATGAAATATCCATTGAAAGAGAGGCTATTTAGCAAGCAGGAAAAAGAATCCAAAATGTCACATAAGCTTTGTTAAAACAATAGAAACCAAATATATGTTTCAAATGCAACATGTGTTCAAAGTGAAACTAACCTTACTCTCTTTTAAAAATCCAAAATTTTTGTTATTGGAAACGCATGATCAAGAGGCAGGATAATTTTTAAAGCAGGCACCTTCAGTAAGTTGAACTGTAGAGTCCTACAATGATTTTCTAAAAGCCAGCAGGCAATGTGACTCTGAGTATAGTTCTTTTGCCTTCTTGAACCAGTTTGTATTTTTATTGAACAAATTCATTTACTTAGAATTTCTTAAACTTGAAAAATGGTGATAAAATGATGATAAAATGTCGAGAACAGTGATCAAATGTAGAAAACAGCAAAGGGGAAAATATCATTTTAATAAATTATCGTGAGGAGGAGGGAAAGAGGTAATAAGTTGAAAGCAAGAACCAAGCTCAAAAAACTGTCTGGGTCTCTCTAATTTGCTATCATTGCACTTTGGCAAAAAGCATGAGAAAAAGTTTGTAAGCAGAGACGGCTTGAGACTAAAGGTTTGGTGACATTTGAAACAAAGACCGACCGTTTAGATTTTTGCATCACTTCCTTCGGTGGTTATTTCTCTTCCTGCGTTGACAGCAATGTTGCCCCTTGCCGTAAAGAGCCTACCTATCTAGTCGTCAATGAATGAGGGATATGGTATGCTTGGCATGGATGACAGTCTCCAAGTGACATTTGACTGTTTCTCTAGTACTGCCTGGAACCTCAAACTGAAGCCGACTGCATCAACAACATCAATGACTTCCTGAAAGGATGTGCGACCCTTCAAGTGGAGGTAAGCTTACTCATGTGGTCTTCCTCGTTGTCATCATTTTTCGCTCTGCTAATTGAGATGGTTTTGTAGTAAAACTGCTTGGTTTATTTTCATTGTTAAACAGAGGAAGCATTTGATGCAAACCGTGGTTGAGATTGGTGGTCTCCAGTGGTGGCTTGCTAGTCTGTCTTTTCCAGAAACCAGTTCCAAAATGAAGCAAAACAAAATCAAAACTCAAAATATGATATCTTTGAAACACAGCATCCAAGCCGTGAAGGCAGGCTTCCGGTGACAGTGCTTGTGTGGATGTGAAAGCAGGCTTCCGGTGACAGAGCATGTGTGGCGCGCTTCCCTACTAAGGGGAACCAAAAGGGGCCCACTGGCTCCTGCAGAGAGTCATTGCAATCCTGCTGAGTTGGGAAGAGAGGAAAGTCTATTGTCGCTTTTTCCCACTTTAGAACACAGGCCTTGAAAAGCTGAGAGAACCCAGCCCTGAGGTAGAAATCATATATTCAATTACACTGCATTATTTTATACTATATGGATCCTCACAGTATGTATAGGGGGTGTTACTGAAAGGGAGATGGTACTTTTGCCTGTGTGTCAAGTTACTTAACTTCTCTGTGCCTCAGTGTTTTTATCTGTAAAATGGACACAATAATAGCTACCTCATGAGGTTGTCTTAAGGATCAAATGAGATACTACATAATAATTTAGGGCTAAGAGCTCCAACTTCATAAGATCTATGAGATAATGCAGGTAGAGTGTCCATCACAGGACCAGGGACGAAGAAGTGCAGACTTGCGTTAGGATTATTCTTTGTGGAGAAGCATTAGTAGTGGTTTGAGCATGAACTCTGATGCTAGACTGCTTGGCTTCAAATCTCAGTTCTCTTTCTTTAGTACCTTTGTGACCTTGGGCATGTTACTTCATTATGCCTCTGTGCCTCAATCTCCCCACCTGTAAAATGGGAGTAACAGCAGCACCTCTCTCTTAGGATTGGGGTGAGATTTCAGGGACTCCATGTCCTCGGAAGAGTGCCTGGCACATAGTAAGCAGTTTGCAAGTGTTAGCTAAGAGTAGTAAATAGTAGTACAAGAGGCTTTGCCCCAGATACACTTTGCTTTCTTCAGAATTTTTCCTAAAGTTGGCCGTAGCCTCAGGCTATACTTCTCTCAGAATATTTTATTCCAGGTTTCCCTACTGCCTAATTATAGCTCTGTGTGTGTGTGGGTGTGTGTGTGCGCGTGCGTGCTCACGTGTGTGTGGGCATGTGTATGTGTGCATAGGCACATGTGTGTGTGTGGTTTTTAGGTACGTGTAGCCCAAGACCACTCTATATCCTTTATAGAATGATGTCTATTAGAGAACAGATCATGGTATTTTCTTTTCTTATTTGTCAAATAAAAACACGGTGAGGTTGCCAATGATTTCTGCGCTCTGAAGCTGCCAGAAGGTGCACTAAGCTTCTCTGCAGTTCTAAGAATGCTAGATGATACAGAAACACCTCCTGGGTCCGGCATTGTTGGAAAATGAGTCATTCACAAAAGCGGATTTTTCTGATAACTAATGCTTACCCCTTTAAGCACCAGTGCTTAAGATATTTTCATCTACTTTGGGTACAAATCATTCTAAAAAGTATATCATAATTTTCATTTCTTAAAGGAAGAGCATTGGACATATTTTTCTTTTTTTTTTTTAAAGATTGGCACCTGAGCTAACAACTGTTGCCAATCTTCTTTTTTTTCCTGCTTTTTTCTCCCCAAATCCTCCCAGTACATAGTTGTATATTTTGGTTGTGGGTCCTTCTAGTTGTGGCATGTGGGATGCTGCCTCAGCATGGCCTAATGAGCAGTGTCATGTCTGTACCCAGGATCCAAACCCTGGGCCGCCAAAGCGGAGCGCACGAACTTAACCACTCAGCCACGGGGCCGGCCCCCCTTTTTTTTTCTTAGTTTTTTGATAATCCAGGCTGGCTTAAACATTGTGCGGCTATGGTAATAAGGCCATCTGTGGCATCATGGTTAAGCACATACCTTCTCTAGTTTCACAAACTTGGGTCAGAGTCTTGGCTTGGTCAGTCACTGACTGTGTGACTCTGGGGAAAGCTACTTGGCCTCTCTGTGCTCCAGTTTCCTCACCTGTATAATGGAGACGCTAGTAATATCCACTGCATAGGACTGTTTTAAGGATCAAATGAGATAATGCATCTAAGGCACTTGATATATCACTGCACGTAAATCATGAATAATAGCTGCTTGCTGTTACTGCTATTACTGGGTAGCATTGTATGCAAAATTATGCCTGTAAGAGGTATATAGGAGCCATATCGAGGCACTCCTTGAATCCTGAGGGAAATCAATAAAATCAATACGCAAGAAATGAGACTGGAAGCTGAGCTGGGTGCACCCAGCAGCGAAGAATACTTACTGTTCAGGGGCCAGCCTGGTGGTGTAGTGGTTAAGTTTGTGTGCTCCACTTCAGTGGCCTGGGGTTCACAGGTTGGATCCTGGGCACAGATCTAGCACCACTTGTCAAGCCATGCTGTGGCGGCATCCCACATATAAAAAATGGAAGAAGATTGCCACAGATGTTAGCTGAGCAACAATCTTCCTCAAGCAAAAGGAGGAAGACTGGCAACAGATGTTAACTCAGGGTCAATCTTCCTCACACACAAAAAAAAGAGAATACTGACCATCCAGACTTAAGCTCCCAGGTAGCTCAAAGACAGACCTAAACACAAATATTTGCAAAGTTAAAAAAGTAGTTTTTTATTGAATATATTTGACATATAACATTGTGTAAATTTAAAGTGTACAATATGTTCCTTTGATACATTTATATATTGTAATATGATTGCCGTTGTAGTGATATTTATCACATTACATAATTACAATACAATATTGTTGTCATAGTCAGTATACTATGTATGCCGTTACTATGGTTTATTCCCTACACATGCAAGTTTGTATCCTTAAACAACATCAGTTTTTGTCCCCCAGCCCTCATTACCTGGAAACCACCATTTATTCTCTGTTTTTTTCCAGTTTGACTTTTTTAGAGTACACGTATAGCTGATAACCAACAGTACTTGTCTATCTCCGTCTGACTTATTTCACTCAGCATAATGCCCTCAAGGTCCGTCCATGTTGTCGCAGATGGCAAGATTTCATCTTTTTTTACGGCTAAGTGGTATTCCATTGTATATATCTACCACATCTTTTTTTATCCAATCATCTGTTGATGGGCATTTGGGTTGTTTCCATATCTTGTCACTTTAGACAGAGTATCTCTCAGGTCTAGCATACCGAGCACAGTGCCTGGTATAGGACACGCTTAACAGATTTTGGTTGATGCTATAAAACTGTTAATGTACAAAAAGCAAGAAGAGCAGGGCTTGAGTATTGCCCAAAAACACGCAATTATTTACCCTAAGAAAGAGTGTCCGCTTGAAATGGTCAGTTTGGAAATGTAGAAAAACAAAGCCAGAGAGGCAGCACTGACAACGTGAGGACTGGCTGTGGGGCATGGTGACCACATTAAAGAGCTGGCGTCTTCTGTCCCTCTGAGCACCCAGTCGGCCTCTCCAGGGGACCTCCATCTCTGTGTGCTCATATGGCCATAGTGTCCTAGGGGCTCTAGAGGATCACACAGCTAGCAACTGGCCATGGAAGTCTGCTGAGACCCCAGGGGAAAAAAGCACTCTCTAAAGTGCCTCCCCAACTTTGATAGCAGCCTTTGACACACAAAAGTTTTTAAATTTTGGTGAAGTCAAATTCACCTATTTTTTGTTTTGTTGCTGTGTTTTGAGTATCATATCTAAGAAACCATTGCTTACTGCAAGGTCATGAAAATTTCCTCCTATGTTTTCTTCTAAGAGTGTTATAGTTTTAGCTCTTATATTTAAGTCTTTGATCCATTTTGAGTTAATTTTTGTATATGATGTGACATAGGGTCAAAATTCATTCTTTTATATATGGATATCCAGTTGTCTCAACACCATTTATTGAAAAGACTATTCATTCTGCCACTGAATCGATTAATGTAGCTATGTAGTAAGTTTTCGAATCAGAAAGCGTGAGTTCTCCAACTTTGTCCTTCATTTTAAAAATCATTTCGGCTCTTCTGGATCCCTTTGTGTGCTCATATGGATTTTAGGATCAGCTCATCCACTTCTGCAAAAAAGTCAGCTGTAATTTTGAAAGGGATTGTGTTATCTGTATAACACTTTGGGAAATATTGCCATTATTGCCATCTTAACAATATTAAGTCTTCTGATCCATGAACACAGGATGTCTTTGCATTTATTTAGGTCTTTTAAAATTTAATTTAACAGTGTTTTGTAGTTTCAGCATACATGCCTTGTACCCCCTTGGTTCAATTTATTCCAAAGTATTTTCTTCTTTTTGATACTATTGTAAATGAAAGTGTTTTCTTAATTCCATATTCGGATTGTTCATTGCAAGTGTACAGAAATGCAATTGATTTTTGTATAATGATCTTGTATCCTTCAACTTAGCTGAAATTGTTCATTAGTTCTAATAGCTTTTTTTTTTTTTTGCTTTCTTGTGGTTTTCTTGTAGAAGATCTGTACATGTGTACATGTGTGCAAAGAGAGAGTTTTACTTCTTCCTTTCCTATCTGGATGCCTTTTATTTCATTTTCTGGCCCAATTGGCCTGGCCAGAGCATTCAGTACGATGTTTAATAGAACTGATGAGAGCGGACATACCAGTCTTGTTTTCCATCTTAGGGGGAAGCTTTCAGTCTTTCACTACTAAGTATGATGTTAGCTGTGGGGTTTTTTGTGTGTGTGAGGAAGATTCGTCCTGAGCTCACATCTGTGCCAATCTTCCTCTATTTTGTATGTGGGACGCCTCCACGGCATAGCTGATGAGTGGAGTAGGTTCATGCCCAGGATCCAAACCTGCAAACCCGGGCCGCTGAAGCAGAGCGTGTGGAACCACTCAGCCATGGGGCCGGCCCCAGCTGTGGGTTTTTCATAGATGCCCTTTATCAGTT